CTATAGCAGAAACCTCTCCAAAAAAAGAAAAAGAAAAAGAAAAAAAAATCGTCTATGAAAAATCTCATAGCTAACATCTTACTGAATGAGGATAAGCTGAAAGACTTCACTAAAACCTGGAACGAAACAAAGCTGCCCACTTTCTACACTCCTTTTTAACATCGCACTGGAAATTCTAAATAATCCAATGAGACAAGAGAATCAAATAAAATACATCCAAATACAAAGAAAAATGAAGTTATTTCTATTTTCATATGATGCTCTACATAAAAAATCCAAAAGAATCCATGAAAAAACTCCTGGAAGTGATAAATGAATGTAATAAAGTGGCAGGATACAAAAATCAATGTACAAAAATTTATAGCGTTTTTATACACCAACAATTCTGTCTGAGACAGAATTGAAGAAAGAAATTCCATTTACAATAACAGCAAAACCAGAAGATATCAAGGAATAAACCTTACAAAGACATCAAAAACCTCTATAATGAAAACTATGAAAAACTGGAAAAAGAAATTTAAAATGATACAATAAAGTGGAAAAACATCTCATGTTCCTGAATTGGAAGAATTGATGTAAATAAGATGATACTCCTACCCAAATTAATCTACAAATTCAATGCAATACCAATCAAACTACCAGAGATATTCCTCACAGAAATAGAAAGAAACAAGTATAAAATTTCTCTGGAAGCGTGAAAGGCCCCATATTGTCAAAGCAATACTGTGCAAGGGGAATGAAGTAGGAGGTGTCTCACTTTGCAAGCTCAAAATATGTTACAAGGCCATGATAATTTAAAGAGCGTGGTATTGGCACTAAAACAGAGAGGTAGATGAATGAAACAGAATTGAGTACCCTCAAATGAACCCCAGAACATACAGCCAACTGATCCTTGACAAAGGGCACAAGAAAATCCAGTGAAAAAAAGAAAATCTCTTCAGCAAATGGTGCTGGGAGAACTGGATGTCCACCTGCAAAAAAATGAAACTAGATCCTTATCTCTCACCACTAACAAAACTTAACTCAAAAAGAATTGAGAATCTAAACATAAAACCTCAAACTATAAAAACACTGGTGGAAAACACAGGAAAAACTCTTGGAGGTCTTGGATTTGGCAAAGACTTCTTCTTAAAGAAGACCTCCAAAGCAGAGGCAATAGTCCCAAATGGGACTATATTAGGCTGAGAAGCTTCTGCATAGACAAAGAAACAATAAATAGAGTGAGAAGACAATCCTCAGAGTGAGAGAATATATTTGCATATTATGCCTCAGCTAAGGGACTGATAACCAGAATATACACAGAACTCAAGCAGCTTACCCCCCCCCCCAAATCAATACAATTAAAAGATAGGAAAACAAGCTGAACAGAAAATTATTTGAGGAAGACAAAGAAATGGCCCAGGAGCATATGAAAACATGTTTGACACCTCTTATCATACGGAAAATGCAAATCAAAACCCACAATGAGATACTGCTTAACCTCAGTCAGAATGGCTAGAATTAAGAAAAATCAGTAACGAAAAGTGTTGACCAGGCTGTGGTGTAAAGAAACTCTCCTACACTGTCGGTGGGAATTTAAATTGGTATGATCACTTTGGTGAACAATATGGAGATTCCTTAGAAACCTACAGATAGAACTGTATGATAGAACTATATGACTCAGTAACACTATCTTTAGGTAGTTACCCAAAGGAGAGGAAAACCCGCAGTCAGAAAAACACTTGCACATCCATGTTTATTGCAACATTATTTGTAATCACTAGGACATGGAATCAACCCAAATGTCCAAAATAGGTGATTGGACTGAAAAAAAAGTGTAGCATATGTACTCTACGGAATACTACTCAGCCGTAACAAAAATACTATGAAACCATGATATTTGATACAAAGTGGATGAATATGGAAGACTTAATGCTAAGTGAAGCAAGTCAGACTGTGAAAGATGACTTTGTGTATCGCCACTCAATATATACCAATTGTCTGCACTCTGCAGTAGAAACTGAAAGTTTGGAAGGTATAGAAGCAGGGAGGGTAAAGGTAGATACTAGAGATAGTAAGGATAGGGTTAATACAGGGTGGATAATGGAGGAAGGGAGGGAAGGAGGAGAGAGGGAGGGTAAGAGAAAAAGTACACTTAATTAAAAAAAAATAAAGCTACGTGCTGATGATGTGCATAGTAATGTCTTTGTGTTGATTGATATGTATGGTAATCATGCTGGAAAAAGAAATGTTAGACACAGAAAAGTAAATGGGATTAAATGTGATATAAGAATTATATTAATTAAATTAATGCAAATGTCAAAATATGATGAAAAGTGGAATAAACAGAGAAGAAATATATATAATAAGCATCTTTTTAACAGATCACAGTTCGTACTAATATCAAAACTCCAAAGATAAATTGCTCATCTACTGATTTAATCATTTAATTCCAGGAATAAAATAAAAATTATATTCATACTACACAAGTCATTATATTAATTCAAGATATATATTAAAGTTAAAATAATTGTTAATATCTCAAAAATGTAGATGAATCACTTTATACTTTTCAAATGGAGAATAACTTGAAGTACAATAGCAGTAAAAGACATTTATAATTTTAGTACATTTATAATCATAAAAATTTAAGGGCCAGATCATTCTTGTGGCTGAGTGGTTAAAAAGGCAGGAACTTACATGACTGACCAAGGTTAAAATCCTGACTGTAGAAGTTAAAGAAACATTTGACTTGTAAAACAGACTGCATACATGTGTTTCCATGCCCTAAATCCCAACAGGATGGAGAAAAGGAAAAGAACAGATTGAAGCATGATCACACCTCAGAGTGCTTTCTGCTTTAACCGTCTCTCTCTGTCTCTCTCTGGCAAGTGAACGCATCATCTTGAAATGAAATACAATAATAATAACATTTTTAGGAAAGCATTCAAAACAGTTATCAAGGGAAAACAAACCGATGTCCATTATGGTAAAATATGGCATCCCATACGATGAAACAGTAAATATTAGTCAGAATTTATTACATCAAAAATAGATACGAATTTCAGATACATAGTACTGAGTTGAATAAAAGCCATACACTGATTGCATGACTTACTAAGCATGACTCAAAAGCAGGCAACACCAAAATATCATTTTAGAAGTAAAAAGAGTGGTTACCTTTGGGAGACGGTGTAGTAACACCATTATCAGGTAAATGAGAAGATTTGGTGGTGTTAGTAGCATTCTGTTTCTTCGTCTATGACGATGTTTCTGATTATAACTAGATATGGAAAGGGAATCAGTCATTCACCCTAAAAAAAGTCAGTTTCTTCTGTACCATGAGGTTTGTGGAGGTGGGAGGCTTTATTATCACTAACATCAGCCAGGAAATAGCGAGCTTTGCTTCAAGACTGTCTCCCCAAATGTGTTCAGGGATGGGCTTTTACAGAAGAATGATTCCAACTCCAACATTTTTACAGTTCTGGTTGGTTGATCTGAGAAGTAGTTAGTTCCACTGGTCCATTATTAAAATTAGTATTATTCATTGATCAGAAAGTGGCAAAATAGTTAAAATGCTCGACTTCCACATGACTGAATTTGGTTTGAATCCTGGACCTGGTGACTTGCTTTTTCACTTTCTTTCTGTTTTTCTTTCTTTCTCTTACTCTGATGAATGCATGGGCCCCATAGCAAATTAAAATAATAATAATAAATAAAATTGGAAAAAAAAATCAGTACGGTTCTGGGTTTTTAAAAATTTATATTTAATCACATTTCTTTATGATATACATTTCTTTTTACAACAGAAATACCATGCATGTCAATCAAGACAAAGATGTTACTATATACATTATCATTAGCAAATAGCTTAACATTTTTTGTCAATTAAGCATACTTTTACTAGTTTTTTTCCTTCCCCTTTCCCTTCCCTCATTTCCATACTAAATTTTTTTTCACATTTTATTGATTCACAAAAGATCTTAAACTAAAAGTATGGAAAAAGCTAGAATCTAGTGACAAGTGCACTGTAATTTTCTTCTGAAACATTTTTTTTTCACTCTCCATTCCCCTTTACTAAAGAGAGCTATAAACTAACTTGCAAAAAACTTATGTTAATCACAATTTGGTCTATTACTTTTTTTTTTTGGTTTTTCATCATTGTTTTCACATGTTATTGTATCACTAAAGTTCTTAATTAAAGACTTTGAATATCAAGCACAGTAATATATACATATTTAGGGACACATGTCTGACTTTAGGCATAAACCTCAGTGAATAAAGTGAGCATGCTATAAAGTAGCACCTTGCTGGGGCTATGCAGCTTACTGTAGTCATTAAATAGGTATTAATAGGTATTTTAATGCATTTTTTAATTTAAAAAATTTTAATTTTAATAGATCAAAATTTAAAAAAATGTTAAGAGAAATTTGCTTAAAACTTAAAGCCAGGACAAGGGCTAGGATTCATTTCAAATAGTCGGTAGATGAACCTATCAACAGTCCAAGACAAAAAAATCCTTAAATATGGAAATTAGAGCATATAAGAAAATTAGTAATGTTTTACTCTATAGTAAAAAAATTCTATTTCACTAGTTCAGACTCACATAATTCATCTCTCTTCTACTGAATTTGCGGTGTTACTGTGGTCTGTCTTTCCATATAACTCTGAAAGTTAACATTCAACTCCAGACCTGTCCCCGCTATCAGGCTGGGAATTCTTTTGGTTGTTTCTTGTACTCTTATTTCTGTGTGTGTCCGACTTTAGTTTTCCTGGTATAGCACTCCCTTTCGCACTTTCTGGAGAGCTGGTATGGTGTTGGTAAATTATTTCAGGCTTTGTTTATCTGACAATGTTTTTGTCTTCTTTTCCCAAATAAAAGATAATCTTACTGTGTATAGTATTCTTGGTTGAAATTGTTTTTCACTTAACACTTTGAATATATTTTCCCATTCTTTCCTTGCTTGCATTGTTTCCGATAACAGGTCCGATATTAACCTTATGGGATATCCTTTGAAAGTAACTTGACATTTTTCTCTTGCCAATTTTAGTATCTTATCTCTGTGTGTGGTTTTGGTTAATCTGGCTATGATGTGCTTTGGGGAAGATCTTATTGGGTTGATTGTATGTGGGGTCTTCTGTATTTCTTGGGTCTGGATATTTGAGGGCTTCTCTAGGTTTGGAAAGTTTTCTTCCAGGATTTAATGGGATAGATTATCAATGCCCTTATTAGTCTCTTCACTTTCAGTGATACAGATGATCCGGATGCTTGATTGATCTCTGTTGTAGCTGCCATTTTCATTCCCTCTCTGAAGCATGAGGTCAACTTTAGGTCACTCACCTTTCTCAGCACACATATCCTTCAAACAATTTGCAGAACAGCACTCAACACTAGGTTTTTCCTAATTAGGCCCGCTCTGGCTGGTTACACTGGTTCCATTAAGATAGTCATTTTGTGAATATTCTTCCAGGGACAGACAATTTGTGTCTTAAAGGCCATTCTAGCCCTAGTCTTATAAACAGATTGCAAAGCACGTGCTCAGGTCTGAAAGACACAGCTGGTATCTAGCCCCCCTGGCCCACATTGCCAGGGGAGCATATGGAACTGAGAGCATTATGCAATCTACTCCATAAATTAGTAAAATGTGAGTGATCAACCAGATGATTAAGAATCACTAGATTATGCACAAAAGGAAATCTCTCTTCCTTAAGAATGCACCATAAATCACACCAACAGCTGTAAAATATAGAAAATCACATGATTGTAAGAAAGTATTTCAGAATAGTGATCATAACAAAACTTAGTGAGATGCAAGAGAAAAGACAAACTATTTCAAGAGGTCAGAAATATCACCCTGTGATACTAATCAGGATTAATGAGGTATTCTATTAAGAGATAGACAACTTCAAGGAAATCCCAAAAAGTCTATGAAATACTCCTATGAGTGATATGCATTTTACCTTATGCATTCGGTAAAGTTGCAATATATAAAATCTATACAAAAATGTATAGCATTTTTATAACCAACAAATAGGCACAGACAGCACACACAAATGTCTACTTAACCCAAAAGTGAAAGATTTCTACAGGAAAAACTGAAAAACTGAAAAAAGAAATGATCTGATACAAAAAAAAGAAAAGACATTCTTTGCTCTCAGATTGAAAAAATAAATATTAGTAAAATGTCAATTGTACCCAAACCAATTTAAAAATTAAATGAAACTCTAACCAAATTATCTAAGGAATTCTTCAAAGAAATATTTTAAAAATATAAGATTTGGGGATCAGCAGGTGGCATGGCAGTTAAGGCACTAGTTTCCCCCACGGCTGTCCACAGTATTGAATAAAAAAAGACCTTGCATCACCAAGTCGTTAGTGTCAAAGAAAGAAAGAAAGAAAGAAAGAAAGAAAGAAGTTGGAGGCATCTCACTACCTGACTTCAAAATAAATTACAAGGGTGTAATAATCAAAATAGTATAGTGCTGGCACAAAAATGGACACATAGACCAACAGATCAAGAACAGAGAATTCAGAAATAAACTCCAACACATAGAGTCAACTGACTTTTGACAGAGAACCCAAGACAATCAAGTGGTAAAAAAAATAGCCTTTACAGACATTTTTGGTTCTGGAAAAATATGATGTCCAACTGCAGAAAAATTAAATTGGACCCCTATCTCTAATTATTAACAACAAAAAAATTATCTCAAACTAGATCAGTGACTTAAATGAAAAGCACAAGTTAAACACTTGAAGACATTGGTGTAGGCAAAGATTAATATAGAACCCCAAAAAGACATGCAAAAATTCTAATATAGATGAGTTAGATTAAATCAGGCTAAAAAAAAAAAAAACAAACTTCCACACAGCAAAAGAAACAATAAAATGTGAAGAGACAAATCACAGAATGGGAGAAAATATTTGCAAACTATGCTTTATTTAAGGCGGTGGTCCCAACCTTTTTTGGCACCAGGGGACAAGTTTGGTGTAAGACAATTTTTCCAAGGACGGTTGGCGGGAAGATCTTTTATGAAATCACCCAACCTAGTCCCTCTCATGCATAGTTCACAATAGGGTTTTTCACTCCTATGAGAATCTAATGCCATCATTTATCTGACAAGACGTGGAGCTCAAGTGGTAAAGTTAGTAAGGGGTAAGAAGCAGTTTTAAATACTGATGAAGCTTCACTTATTCCCCCACTACTCACCTCCTGCTGTGTGGCTCAGTTCCCAACAGGTCACAAACAGTACACCCCATGGCCTAGGGTTTGGGAACCTTGATGATAAGGTACTGATAATCAGAAGATAAAGGAAACTCAAGCAGTTCACCTGCCAATAAATAAATAGATAATAAAATCCAATTAAAAAATGGGCAAATGAGCTGAACAAACAACTCTCAAAGGAAGACATACAAATGACCAAAAAAGCATTTGAAAGCAAAAGTTCATAACTTTTATTGTAAGAGAGTAACAACCACAATGAGATATCATTTAATCACAATCAGAAATAACAATGATCAAGAAACTAAAGAATGGCAGTGCTAGTGAGGCTGTGGTAAAAAGGAACTCTCCTACAGCATTGCTGGGAATATATAGCCAGTGTGAAAAACAATATGAAGGTGCCCAAAAATTGACAAATGGAACTACCACATGATCCAGTAATCTCATTCCTTGATACTTACAAATGAATAGGAAAACACTGAGCTGGGAAGACATCCGTACATTTATGTTATTGCGGCACTGTCACAATTGCTAAGGCATTGAATCAACCTAAGTGAGATACTATTCAGCCACAAAGAACAAAGAAACTGTCATTTAAAACAAAGTGGTTGACTCTAGATTTAATGCTAAGTAAAATATGCCAGACTCTGAAACAAGCACTGTATGTTCTCTCACAATATATATGAAAGGTCTGTGCCTTATGCCAGAAATTAAAATATTTGAAGACACAATAGTAAAAAAGGCAAGGTAGGTACCAGAGTCTGTATAATAGAGAGTGGGGTAGTGGAGGGGGAAGAGGGGTTTAAGAAAGCAGCATTTAATAGACACAAGAATGTAAGGTTCTCTGTTGAATATGATGTACATAGTAATATCCTTGGTTTGATTATTACACACTCCATACACGGTTTGTAAAACCATGTCACTTACCATAAAGATATTGAAAATTACATGTAAATTAGAAATTATAAAATAAAATTGTGGGACCAGCAATTGGCATAATGGTTGTATGGCTGAACTCTCACATGGCCAGTCATGGTTCAAATCTCTGACCCAGAGGACAGAAACTCACACCGGTGCATGTGCATGCATGCCTAGGATCCTGAGAGGATAATTGAGGAGAAGGGACTGCAGCATGGCCATCCCTTCTGGGGGATGATTTCTCACTTTCTGTCTCTTCATCTCTCTCTGTCTCTCTGGTGAGCACACACAACCCAGAGCAAAAATTTCTCTAAAAATAAATTAATTTACTTAATTAAATAGGAAAAGATAACATTTATAATAATAAAAAATTAAATCAGAGTAAGCAACCCAAAATATTAAATATAATGTCTCAAGATGAACAATATAATAAAGGAAATTTAAAAAAAAACTGCAGAAAATATCAAAGTAGATTAGACTATGCAAAAGAAAGCACCTCTGAGCTTCAAGAAGCTACCTTTCATTTGATCGAAGCCACAAAAAAGAAAGAAAAATTGCCATTAAAAATGAAGATAGAGCCCAGCAGTTGGCATAATGATTAAGGTGCTGGAATTCCACATGCCTGACTGCAGTACAAGTCCCGGATCAAGCAGCTTAAAACTCTCTTTGGATGTATGTGTGTTCATGCCAAAAATCTCACAAGGGGATGGAGGAGAAGGGATTTCAAAGTGGCCATCCCCACTGAGGAGTGAATTCTCACTTCCTGTATCACTGTCTCTGTCGCTCCAGCTAGTGCATGTGCCCTATGACGAAAACCTTAAAAAAAAAAAAAAGGAAGTCAATGTATGTGAAATCTAAGACACAATAAGTCACCCACATATTAATAGAATGGCTATTCCAGAAGAAGAGACTGGTAAAGTCATAGAAATTGTCTTTCATAAAATACTACCTGAAAACTTCCTAAGTGTAGAGACAGATATTGGCATCCAGATGAAGGAAATACAAAGGACACCAAATGGATTCACCATGAAAAGATCCTCTCCAAGCACATACTGTCCAAAATAACAACAGTCAAAGAAGAGACAATTTTCTAAAAATAGCAAGAGAGAAATGTCACTAGTAAGGGATGCCCCATCAAATTAACCTTAGGCCTTTCAGAAGAAATCTTGAAGAACAAAAGGAAAAGAAAAGATATTGATGAATAAGCTGAAAATTCTGAAAGAAAAGCAATTTTTGGTAATAGTATATGTAGCAAAATGATTCTTCAAATTAGAAGGAGAAATAAAATATTCCCCAGCAAACCAAAAACTTAAAAATGCTGCAATACTAGACTGACTCTGCAAGAAATACTTAAGGGACTACTACATCATGAAATAAAAGGGAGATAAATAAAAATAACAAAATGGTGGGAATAAGCGAGTTCCTATTATTAATACAGGAACCCTCTATGTGTTTATAGAAACACAAGAAACACACTTTGCTGGTGAAGATATACACAGAATGTGAAAAAATGGAAAAAGTAATTTCATTCAAAAGAAAAGCAAAAACAAACAAACAAACAAACAAACAAAAAGCAAAACCTGCAGTCCTAGTACTGTTATCGTTCAAAATAGACACCAAGCTAAAATCGATCAAATGAGACAAAGGTCACCAAATATTATTGAAGAGACTACATCCAAATACGTAAAGCGAAGACTTTTAGCCCCTTTGGTGGTTATGCAACACCCTAATTGTTAGGGATGTCAACACCCCACTCAATCTTGGACTGGTTATCTTGTTAGACTAACGAAGATAATTAGGAAAAGATAATTAACCCGGGTTAATAAATTAGAAATGAAAAAGGCAATATTACAGCAGATATCACAAAAATACTAAAGATTATACACCATACGATAACTGATACCACAAAAATACTAAAGATTATACACCATACGTCAATAAATTGGAAAATCACGAAGATATGAACAAGTTTCTGGAGAGATACAGGATATCTAGATTAAACCAAGCAGAAATAAAATACATAATGGACCGATGAGATTGAATAGATAATAAGTAATCTCCCAACAGAAAAGTCTAGGTCCTCATGACTTGACTACTAAATTCTAGAATGTTTTTAAAGAAGATTTAACCCCAATTGTTCTCAAATTATTTCTAAAAATCCAAATGTTAAAAAGCTTCTTGACTCATCTTATGATGCCATCACCTTGATCTCAAAAGTAGAAGACAAAACAACAGAAAAAGAAAACTACATATCAACATCCCTGATAAATACACATGCTAAAGCCTCAACGAAGTATTAGCAAATTGAATCCAACAGTACATTAAAATGATTATACAATAAGACCAACTAGACTTTATCCATAAATGCAAAGATGACTTGCATATGCAACACAATAAATAGAATTCATTAAATTAACAGAACATAGGAAAAAACTATCACATCAATTGATACAGAAAATCATTTGATAAAATACAATATCCCTTCATAATTAAGACTTTCAACAAAAATAGGTATAGAATACATTTCTCCACATAATAAAAGTCATATATAATAAACTCATAGCTACCATTACACTGAATGGGTAAATGCTGAAAACTTTCCTGCCTAGATGTAGGAATAGTCAAAAATATCCACTATCTCTACTTGTTTACAGCATAGTTACAGAACTACTAACCAATGCAATCAGACGAAAGAGTGAAACAAAAGACATTCAAATAGGAACTGATTTAAGTAAATTGTCCCTTTTTGAAGATGACATGATTATGTACATAGAAAATTCTTAAAATCTATGAAAAACCTCCTGTAAGTGATCAATGAATTTGATAAAGTTGCAGGACATAGAATTAATTTTTAAAAATTCAACGAAAGCAGGTGATGTGCCGAACTCCCACACGACTGACCGTGGTTTGAGTTCTAGACAAGGCAGCTTGAAAAATCACACTGACTCTGTGTGCATGTATACCCCAAATCCTAGAAGAATGGACGAGAATTACCCCTGGGCGGTAATTTTTTCACTTTCCCTCTCACTGTCTCTCTGTATCTCTCTTCAACAAGAACACATGTCCTATGGCAAAAAAAAAAAAAAAAATCTTTAAAAAATAGCTATTTTACTTACCAAAATAAATGAAGAAACGCCACACTGGTATGATTGAATATAATTACTTCATAATGCACAAAGCTAACTTTAAATTTTGGAGTGGACTCTTGGCACATTTTATACACAGTGGTTTGGATTATTCAGTTACAATTACACAGCTGATCATATGCCTTCTGTACTCTCTTTAGGACATTGCTAGGCTGACTTGTAATACATTATGAGAGCTTCACAGAGTATTCAAACACCTTTAGTTCCATGATTTTCATGAGAATATTTTGAATCAACTCCAGCATCTGACTGTGCATCCTGATTTCCCCTTTCAAAGGGCAAAGCCATATGTTCTACAATTTCATGTTTTTGTCAGTTACAGATTAACATGGTTCAAAGTACAGGCTGATGTGGTCAAAGAATCAACAATTCCTGGTATTTCAAAAGATAGTTTGGAAAAGGAAAGAATTGAGCTTTGAGAATCCCTAACACATCTGTTCCAAATTGGACAAAGGAGGTAAGTTTTAATAAAATCTAAGTCTAAAACCTGCATGTTAATTCTAACAGTGAATGTGCATGGATTACTTCAGGTAAACTCAATTGGATGAAATACTGATAAGTGGGTATTGATAAGATTCATGAAACCTAGCAGAATTTCGAACACCTTATATACCTCACCACTAATAGTGTAGGTGTTTTGCATGAATAAAAAAGGGCAAGTCAGGACCAGCAGTTGGTGTAATGGCTATGTTGCTAGACTCCCATGTAGTTGACCATGGTTCAAGTCCCAGACCCAGTGGCTTAAACTCATGCTGGGCGTGTGTGTGTACATGCCCAATATCCCGAGAAGAGAATGGAGGAGAAGGGATTGTGGCATGGCCATCCCCCCTGGGCGGTGATTTCTCGCTTTCTGTTTCTCTGTCTCTCTCTCTCTTTCTTGTAAGCACATGTGTTCTAAGAAAAAAATCTCTCAAAAAGGGAGGGGGGGGGCAAGTGAATAAATCACAAAAAAGGGGGGGGGGGGCAAGTGAATCCCATCAGATTTGTCCATGTCAGAGTATTTATTAACAATTCAAATTATGAGTCTGATTCACATGTTCAGAATCATCCTTTTTAGATTTTAAACAGTTGAATGATATAAACTATTCATGTTACAAAGAGATTAAATAATAGAATTAAAAATGCATGATTAGTTACAATCATCAACCAATATTGTTTTGATTGTATGTGAACATATTAATTCTTTTATTGTATACAAAGCCTACCATACGGTGAGAACATAGCATTTGTCAGATATCATGCCTACACCTCCTCGATATTGTTCAGTGTGTAATCGCTAGTACTGGTAGGGCATTAGAATGAAAACTACCTGACATTGACTCTTGAGGAAGAATATAGAGGTCGAGTATCCTGAAGAGTATCCTAAACTGAAGGCACTGAGCACAGCTGCCCCAGTCCTTTAGGAGACAGTTTGAGAAATCTGTTGTACAGAACATGCCAGTTTCTTCTCACAGAATACATGCAAAATTCAAGATGGGTGAATTTAAACTTGGCCTATGACCTTTACTATGCTTCACTAATGAGAATAATAAGGAATATTGAAAGAATATGAAGCTGTCTATAGACTATGGTATGGGTTCTATTTCTGTTGATTCTACAAGTCTCTCAATTACTTTTCACAAAAAGCCTCCAGTGGCTTTTTTTTTAAAGAATTATATAATTGTAGTTGTTGTTATTATTATTATTATTTAAATTTGCTATACGGCTCACTCACCAGAGAGAGACAGAGAGAGAGAGTGAGAAAGCAAGCCGTCAGGTCCAGGACTCGCAGAGTGGTCAATGGCGGGAATTCAGCACCTCAACCACCATGCTGCCTGCTGACCATAAGCCTCCATTGTTTTTGTGTGCTGAACCCCCTCCACACTCAGATGAAACTGAAGTCAGTTCTGTTAAGGGGAGCTTAAAATTCTGTTTTATGACTAGTCCATCCCCAGAAGTAAAGTCTCTGAGCCACAGTTCTGGATCTGTGAGTGAGGATTATGCTATCCACTTCCAAAATGACACCAGTGCTTAGAGATGTGTGCTTTTCACTGAGGAAGGGGCTGGGAAGAATCTACTTATATTGCCTTTACAGATCTGCAGCTTTTACCTTTTGAGCCAGGACAAAGGCTTATCGTGGTCGCTCTTTGTACATTTTTTTTTTTCAGAGGTTTTTGCTATAGGGCACGTGCGCGCGCCAGACAGACAGAGAGACAGAAAGCGAAAAATCACCCCCCAGGGGGGATGGCCACATCGCTATCCCTTCTCCTCCATTCTCCTCTCAGGATCTTGGGCACGCACACACACGCGCCCGGCGTGAGTTTTAAGCCACCGGGTCTAGGACGCAAAACGCGGTCGACTACGTGGGAGTCCAGCGACATAGACATTACACTAACTGTTGGTCCCTATCGGGGTCGCTCTTATGTTTTTATATATACATATTATACTAAGCTTAGAGAGGGCTAAGAAAAGGAGCAGGCTGGTGTTGAAAAACCAGACTACGTGTTCTCACCAAGTTTATTGGATTTTCTTGAAGAAATATTTCTTCAGGTCTAGTGTACTCTTGTGACCATTTCTAAACTTTAAATATGAGTGTATGCATGTGTATTTGTGTGTGTGTTAGTGTATGTATGTTCAGAATATTTTACTGGAAAGCATATCCACAGAGAACCCTGTGTGGACAGGGAAATAACTCTGTAAAGTTTTCACTTTCACTGTTGCTTCCATTAGTATTTTAAGAATATTTTGTGATATCGTGCCAGTATCAAGTTTCTATTCATACCACCATCTACCAGTCCTTGAATCTATGTAAATAAATCCTGTCTCAAATATCTAATAAATTATGGCCTTGGGACCAGCAGTTAGCATAATGGCTGTGTCACTGGACTCCCATATAGTAGACAGCGGTTCAAATCCCAGACCCAGTGGCTTAAACTCTCTCTGAGAGCATGTGTGTGCATGCCCCAGATTCCGAGAGGTTAATGGAGGAGAAGGGATTGCGGTGTGGCCACCCCTCCTTGGGGTGACTTCTCGCTTTCTGTCTCTCTTTCTCTCTCTCTGTCTTTCTGGAGAGCTCATGCACCCTATAGCAAAAACCTCTCCATTAAAAAAAAAAAAAATTATGGCCTTATAGTGATCACCAGACTCCAGAATTTTTCTATAATTTTCCATTTATACTCTAGATATGAAGTTTCACTTCTGCATTACTTATTATTTTAATTTTTATTTATATAAAAATGTTTGGGTGCGTGTGCGTGTGTGTCCAAGATCCTGAGAGGATAATGGAGGAGAACGGATTGCGGCGTTGCCAACCCCTCTGGGGGGGTTATTTCTCGCTTTCTGTCTCTTTGTCTCTCTCTGTCTGTCTGGCAAGCGCATGCGCTGTATAGCGAAAAACTCTCCAAAAAAAAAAATGAGTTGGTTGTATATTTGGGGGGTTATTTCTGGAGTCTCTACTCTGTTCCATTGGTCCTCATGTCTGTTTTTGTGCCAATACCATGCTGTTTTGATTATCACATCTTTGTAATATATTTTGGGGTCAGGAAATGAGATGCCAACTACTCCAGGCTTCTTGCGCTGGATGGCTTGAGCAAAATGGGGTCTTTTATGGTTCCAGACAAATTCTACGGTTGTCTTTTCTAGATCTGTGAAGAATGTCTCCTGTAACTTTATAGGGATTGCATTAAACATGTAGATTCATTTGGGTAGGATTGCCATTTTTATTGTATTGATTCTGCCAATCCAGGAACATGGCCAGTCCTTCCACTTTTTAGTGTCCTTTTCAATTTCCTTTTAAAGGTTTTCATAGTTTTCCTTGTGTCAAGGAAGTCAAAGACCTCTATTTACTTATTTTACTTATTTATTTATTTTAATTGGACCAGAGAATGACATAGTGAGAGAGAGAGAGAGAGAGAAAGAGAGAAGGAAAGTGAGAAAGCCATCAGGTCAGGACTTGTTCTGTAGTTGGCCATATGGGAGTCCAACATCTTTAGCATGGAATCTGCCACCCGGAATATATTTTTTATACTACCAAACTAGAACTAGGTAATTCAAGGAATATTTTACATTTTATTGTTTTCTCTTTTTTCATTGCAGATTACTTAATAATGCAAGAAGAAGGAAAACTACTAAAATTCAAAGGATTTTATTTTCAGTCAGCCTTACTTGATCATGATATTTTAGAAAACCTGGAAGACTTTGAAATTAGAGATAACGACATCTTTGTAATATCCTATCCCAAATCTGGTAAATTAGACGTAAATAAAAAGCTATAGATCCATAAACTAATTTTAACTGGGAAAAATTTATGAGGCTTTTCACAGATTTGTAGTTGCTGTGCAAATAGGAAGTCATCTTTGTAACTAAAATCTTCAGCATGTGAATTTTGAGAGTGTATGAAAGGTGTTATTTTAACTTGTGCATACATTCTCACTTTCTGAAGTTATTAATCTTGTAGAGTATGATATGTCTGCAAAATGCATATTTAGAAAATTTTTTTTTCTTCTTTTGGAGAGGTTTTCGCTATAGGGTGCATGCTCTCGCCAGACAGACAGAGAGAGACAGAGAGACAGAAAGCAAGAAATCACCCCCCAGGGGGGATGGCCACGCCTCAGTCCCTTCTCTTCCATTCTCTTCTCGGGATCTTGGGCACGCACGCACACGCGCCCGACGTGAGTTTTTTTTAAGCCACCAGGTCCAGGACACACACCGCGGTCGACTACATGGGAGTCCAGCGACATAGCCATTACGCTAACTGCTGGTCCCTAGAAATGTTTTTTAATCCATGAGAGTTATCTATGATGAAACTATTAATGTACTAGCATTCATGCTACCAATTTCTTATTTGTTACTATATCCCCTTGAGGAACAGTATAGTATTGCTCAAATGGACACCATTCAAAAAGACATTGTTTCAGTGACAACACACTAAAACACCAATGTATCTAGTTTTCTCTGTGTCACTTCTAATGGAAAACCTAATCTTCACTTTAAAGTCTGTGGTAAAGTTTGTCAGGGAAAGAAGGCTAAAGGCAATGAGAAAAAGGGAAAGTTATTCTCTATTCGCACAATCATTTTTATAGAGAGAGTTAAATGCAATGCCTGAGAAGTTTGAATAAACTCCAGTGTTTGTGGTTTAATACAAAAATTGGAGAAAAGACCGGGAAGTGTTAACTACAATATCATCCAGGAGAAAGTAAAGGTGCTAAGAAAGGGAGCAAAGTAGATACAATCCTCAGTCTCTTAGTACTTAGTTAATTCGTGAAAAAAATTCCTCCTAGTCTTTTATAGTCCATGGGTAAACATAATATCGAACTCTATTTTTTATGGATAGAATTAGAAAGAAGGAAAGATACACTTAGAGGAGACAGTGTAAAGAAATAAAATGTGTGTGGAAGAGTAGAGCCTGAGGAAGGACATTCAGAAGAAAAATATAAAGGCAAAGCATTCATGGGACAAAGAAATGCGGTATTATGTGGTGAAGATATTTTACAGTTTTATCAACTGGACTTGGGAGAAATGTTCACATACTGAAATATTCTCTTTGTAAGCTAACTAATGTGATTGAACATATAAAAGAAGATGAAATTTTAAAAAAAGAAATAAAATATTCAAAGATACATAATATACCTTTTAACAGCCCAGAGAGTATGAAACTTCGGCAAGGTGGTAAAGAAGGATAAAGAAGCTAATTAATTTGTTGTATAACAAATAGTTGAGTCCCTATTGTCTGGTACACACTTTCAAGAGCAGTAATAGCAAATGCATGTACTCTTGACAGTATGCGCTCTACGGTTATGTGAATGGAGAGAATGTGTGTGTTTCTACAGCATAGTGGGTGAAGAGAGGAGGGATAGGACATGATGGTGGGGAAGTAGGCCAGAGTTCAAGAATTCTTTTTTCTTTTCTTTTTTTTTTTTTTGAGAGGTTTTTGCTATAGGGCTTGTGTGCTCACCGGAAAGACAGAGAGAGATGGAGAGACAGAAAGCAAGAAATCACCCCCCAGGGGGGATGGCCATGCTGCGATCCCTTCTCCATTCTCCTCTTGAGATTTTAGGCAAGCACGGACACACAGCTGGCATGAGTTTAAGCCACTGGGTCGGGGACTCGAATCGCAGTCGATTATGTGGGAGTTCAGCAACATAGCCATTACACTAACTGCTGGTCCCAAGAATTTTTTAGATCATGGTAAGCAGATTGGATTTCCATCTAACTTTAATGCATGCCATTGCAAGATTAGGGCAAGCAACTTATCTGACTGAGGTTTAGTTTCAAAATAGTAATATCTATGGTTATGTGGTCTGTAGAATGGTGGAGGTAATTATGTGCACAAGGCAAAATAATGATGAACGTTAGAGCTGAAAATGTTTTTCACTTCATGTGAGTATTGCAGATTGTGTACATGCTTTAAAAACCCACGCTGTACCTCACAAACATGTACGACTATTATGTGTAAAGCAGAAATTACAGAAAGAAAATATGTTAGAAAGAAAAAGATATATGGGACAAAGGATAATGACTATTTACTTCAGGAATCTAGGTAAATGGTGAGGGTAGTTTGAACAGACAGGCTGTTTTGTCTTCTGTGCTTAGTATAAACTATTGAAACAGAGACAATTGCAAAGCAGTACCTAAATTGGTAAATTTAACAAACAATCATCACATTTTAAAGAAAACGATAAACGACAGTTCTTTTTATTGAGATAGTTAAAGCCATAACTCTTTAATTTTATAGGAACTGCTTGGATTCGGCAAATATTGTGCTTGATTCATTTTGAGGGCTATCGTAACAAAACTGACACAAGACCTTTGAATTTAAGAGCCCCCTTCCTGGAGTACAATGTTTTGCACGTTGACTTAGAGAAGATGCCATCTCCTCGAATTATTGGTAGCCACTTACCATATTATTTGGTACCAAAAGGATTGAAGAACAAAAAAGCCAAAGTAAGAAATAGAAAGAATTTATCACACTGTTTTCCAACCAAAAGTATTGCCTTGTCTATCACTGTTTAAGCTTAATGTCTGTTATTATGAGCATTGTTTTTGTGGTAATAGCATTCTCTGATTTTTAATTATAATGTAATAAAATCATATTTTGTTTTAAAGTAAAATGAAGGCATCAATAAGATGAAATATCTCTAAAAGTACCCAAAAAGCTAGAATATTTTTTTGAGAGGTTTTTGCTGTAGGGCACATGCACTAGCCAGACAGACAGAGAGAGAGAGAGAGATAGAAAGCGAGAAATCACTCCCCAGAGGGAATGGCCACACCGCAATACCTTCTGCTCCATTCTCCTCTCGGGATCTTGGGCACACACGCACACGCGCCAGGTGTGAGTTTAAGCCACCGGGTCCGGGACTTGAACCATAGTGGACTATGTGGGAGTCCAGTGACAGCCATTATGCTAACTGCTGGTCCCACAAGAATATTTTTTTATCATCATTCCAAACTCTTCTTTCCACAATTCTCAAAATTTCTTCTTAAAACATTTTCAGTAAATGTTTTATAGGTTTTATGCTCATAAGTCTTTCTTACCTTTAGGAAAACTTTTATATTTTCAGTTTTAAACATTATGTATTGATTTCCTGCCATGAGTATTTTGCATAACATTTACATATTCCGCCTCTTCCATTTCTTCATTCTTTCACATCAGCTGATTCATTTTAACTTCCATTTGCAATGTATAATAGCACTCCTACACTTTATTCACTAATTAGTGCTTATCATTTGAAAATTATAGTTATGATTTCAGTGTTCCTTTACCAGCCATTACGTTTGTCACTTAGTTTTCTTTTCATCCTTATTAAAGTTGTTTTTAAAATATTATTTATTTAATTTTTTTTATTATTCATTTATTTTAATTTGACCAGAGAGAGACACACACAGAGAGAGATAGAGAGAGAGAGGGAAAGGGAGAAAGGAAGGCCCCAGGTCTAGGATTCGAATCGTGGCCAGCCATGTGGGAGTGTCAGCACCTTAACCACCACGCCACCTGCTGGTTCCCCCATCCTTATTAAAGTTTAATTGACAAGAAAAATATATTTATTAATGTTGTTCAATATTATGACTTTTTTTCTTTTTGAGATGGAATTTTGCTATACAGCATTGTCTGCTCATTGGAATGGCAGACAGAGACTGAGAGAGAGAAAATGAGAAATCACCCTCAAGGGGGTTGGCTACACAACAATCTCTTCCCCTCCATTCTCCTCTCAGGACCATGGACATGCACACACACACACACCCAGCATGAGTTTCAAGCTTCCGAGTCTGGGACTCAAACAGTGGAAAGCCAAGTGGGAGTCCAATGCTTTAACCACTACACCATCTGTTGACCCCCAATGCTATGTTTTGATATGTGTATACATTATGAAATGATTAAGGCAAAAGATCTGGCTTACTTTTTGTGGCGAGAATATTTAAGATCTCCATTCTTAGCAATGTTCAAGTATATAATGCATTACTGTTATTAAATGCAGTCACCATGCTGTACAAAAGATCTGTAGGTCATAACTAGCCTAATACAAGTTTGTATATTTTGACCAGTAACTCCCCGTTGTACTTATTTTTCCTTAGTACTGTCTACTCTCTGCTCCAGTGAGTTCTACATTGATATGGAATGAATTGAATGTGCAGATCAGTTGGAGAATTATAGACATCTGAATAAATTTATTTTTTCCAATTTATTATCATGTATTTTCTCCCGCTTACATGTGTCTCCTTCAATTCTATTTCTCAATTTTTCTTTAAAACTGTCTCTATTTTATATTATTGAGGTTGGAAAAGTTACTTGATATCATTTCAATCTTTTAAAATTAGCTAACATTTTGTCTTGTGGCATAACAATGTGATCGATCCTGGAAAATGTTTCCTGTGTGCTTGAGAAGAATGTGTATTCTGTTTCCATTTGATGTAATGTCTGTTAGGTTTATGTGGTCTAGAGCGTTGTTCAAGGCCAGTATTTTGTGATGAGTTTTCTATCTCTCCATTGTTGAAACTGGGGTGATAAAGTCCCATACAATTGTCATAGTACAGGTATCTCTCCCTTCAGACCCATTCATATACGTTTTACATTTAGATGTAAATATGTTGAAATGTAATGCCAGAGAGCATGCGCACTCACTAGACAGACAGAGAGGAGAGAGGAAGAGAAAATAAGCATGACCCAATGAGACGTGACCCTGCAAACTCCTCCATTTCTCATCCATGATGGGATTTTGGGGATGGTTTCATGCACCAGGTGTGTTTCGCAAGGCTCCAGGGCTGGAAAAAGAAAAGCATTATGAAATTATAAATACATCATGCAGAAGATCATGTGGGATCCAATTCCATTAATCAGCAGGTCATAGAGCTGGCCCAGGTACATATAAATTTATAATCGATATATCCTTTTAATGAATCGACCTCATTTATATTAATTAGTGAACTATGTTTTTCACTATTTTACAATTTTTTAATTAAAATTTTCATAGTCTGCTCTTTTGGTTTCCATTAATATTAAATATTTAATTCCACTTCTTCACTTTCATTTTATGTGCATCCTTAGAGGGGAGGTGAGTTTCTAATGTATTTTTTTCTGTTTATCATATTTTGAGAGAGAGCAAGAAAGTCCAAAACAGGCACCCATTAAAAGTTCTCATTACACTCAACACCCCCAAATCAGCCTTCCAGCCATTCTGTATCAAGCACATGTGTGAACCCATACATACATATATGCTTCAGGTTGATCTGGAATCCAACTGCTGTCTTCCATGTAACTGCAGCCTTGCAGAGTGGCATACTATCACTTACAGACCATGGCTTGCTCCACTCTTTTTCCACGGGATAATTGACTCCATTTAAGTTCAATGTAATTACTCTGAGATAAGGGCAAAGGTAATGCCAATTTTTAAATTTGTTTGTGATGATTTTGTACAGATTTTTTTTCTTTCTTCCTTAATACTTCTTCCTCTTTTTCATTTGAGTTTGGAAATGTTCCTTAGGCCTCATTTTTTTTTTTCGAAAATTTTTTAAGACTGGGTTTAGCTTTTCCTAAATGTTTTGGATAGTTTTGCAATGCAGCCATCACAGCTAGGTTTTTCTTTCTTGGCACATTTTTCATTACACATCCGGTGTACTTAATTGTTATTTGTCTCTTCTGTTTTCTATTTCCCAAGGAGTCAGTTGTGTACAACTGTATGCTTGTAGGAATTTTGTCTATTTATTTCATGGTTATCCAATTTGTTGGTGTGTATTACAATTGTCTCTAGGATTTTTTTTGTAGTTTTGGGTTTGATTGTAATGTCTTTTCTTTTGTTCAGATTTTTTTATATTTGAGTATTCTCTCTTTTTCATAGTCTACTTTAAGATTTGTCAATTATGTTGCTTTTCAGAAAGCCAAATAATAGTTTCATTGATCTTTTCCATTGTTTTTCCAGTCTATATTTCATGTATTTCTCTTCTGATATTATTTCATAACTATGCTTAGTTTTTAATTTTTTGTTTCTTTGCATGATCAATTTAAGTTGTTAACATAGAGACTTCATTTTTTTAAATACTTATTTATTTTATTTTATTTATTCATTCATTTATTTTAATTTGACCAGTGAGAGACACACAGAGAAAAGAGAGGGAAAGTGAGAAAGCAAGCCACCAGGTTTGGGACTTGAACCATGGTCAGCCATGTGGGAATGACCAGTGCCTTAACCACCATGCCACCTGCTGGTCCCCAAGACTTTATTTTGTAAATGTAGTATTTGTCAAAGTAAACTTCTTAGAAATATGATTGTTACATTCAATAGTTTTAGTATACTGTGCTTCTATTTTTGTTTGTCTTAATGTACTTTTTCCTTTTAATTTTTACTCATTTCACCTACTGTTTCTCCTGCTGTGTGATTGATTTCAAGTTTCATATCACGGTTGTCAGAAAAGATACTTGCTCAATATGAGTTCAGTCTTATACATTGTATTCAGAACGGGAGAAGTGATTTGGTGTGTTGTAATGATACACAGTGGTTGAATGTAAGAAAATAAAAAAATCATTGAATGACATGATCATAAGGGGGACCACCAGCACAGGGAAGTTGTAAACTAGATATATATGCGTAGGACATAGTTAACTTACAGCTGAATTTAGATTCAGAGGATCTCTGGGAATGCCTGAATATGAACCATTGACACTAGTCAATATAAAGGCAGTGAGATTTATAAAAGCTATTTGTGACATATTACTATTGCAGACCCCTGGGCAAATATGTCATGAAAGGTTATCAACTAGCATAACATGCTAGAATATGTGAGTTTGCCACGTGACTAAAGCAACATAAATTTCTACCAAGAACTTCTGCCTATTTCATCTTACAGATTTTACAGCCTCTGCCTGGAGACTGAAGCATCATGGTGCTAATATACATCCTGGGACCTTTTGCCTGGGTGTCTCTCTGACCCCCAGTGAATAACTGTACTCTCTTATGCTGGGTGCCCCATGTATTCTGTCTCTAAGTAAAAGTTATTCATTCTCTGCTTAGTGAAGATTCCTTTTTTTTT